AGGACACAATTCTGTGGTTTGCAAAGAGCATCTGAGATGTGATCATATGGACAAAAGGAGGAATATGAGAAAGCTGCGAGTGGGAGGGAATAAGACATGATTATTGTTCTGGTTTGTTTCTGTTTCTGTATGAGTCTGTTTTGAAGAATGAGTAGTCTGCTGGGGAGGAGTAGAGAAGACTTCCCTTGAAACATCACCTTTGAACCTACTCCATTTTTGCCAGCACCTAAGGCAAACAAGGAAATTTTTTCACTCCCAGACCAACCTTCGCACCTAGGGCAAGGTCAAGAAGAGGAAACTGAACTGAGCAGGCAGTTGCTCTAAAGAGCCTCTAACTATATACCACGATTCATAAGCCAGAGGGCCCACTGCAAGGATGTAGAGGGGAGTTTGCGGTTGAATGTGCCCTATCAGAGTCACTTACTCCTTCCCCTAATGGAGGTAAGCACTTGTTCCAGTTTCACTCCTCAGTTCCACCTGCTCAGCATCTGTGGTGGCCCATCACTAGTGTTCCTATAGGTACTGGATGAAAAGAGAAAAGAATGGACCCTGTAGAGCCAGCATGCACCTGGCTACATACTCCTCTAGAGAGGACCTACTGTAAGTGCCTGCCATGAGGAGGAAATTGACAGATTCCTGCCCCCTTGGAGCTGTCAGTCTGGCAAAGAGATACTGATAAGCAAAGCAAAACTGCACAGTGAATTACAAGATGGGGTGCACACGTCATCCCTGGAGCATCTAGTCTGGCATGGTGCAGATCTGGGAAGACCTCTAAGGGACTGGTGCTCCAGCTGTTAGCTGAAGGGTGAGCACTAGACAGTAGAGGGTTCTACACAGAAGGAATCACTAACGCTAAATCCCCTGAGGCAGAAAAGAAATGAAGGGAACTGAAAGAGGGGACAGAGACTAGAGCAGAGGGCTCAAGAAAAGGGAGTCAGGACCTATGAGGCATCAGTGCAGGTGGTAAAGGTTCGGAACTTTATCCTAAAGAATCATAATAATTATTCACAAAATTTTAACAAAGAAGATGTCAGATCACATTGCCATTTTTAAAAGACCTCCTACCTTCTATAAAGATGGACAAGAGCTAACAAGACTGGAGAAACACTTAGCTGTATGCCCAGATATAGACACAGGGAAGGCAGAATTAGGGCTTTGCAGAAAGAAGCAGTAGGGCAGGTGGGAGGAATTTAATGTATTGGCAAGAGCTGGGCTGCAATGACACAGAATGGGACGGGGAGTGGGGGGACACTAGACAGGCTAATGGTGAGAAGGAAGGACAAGCTATCAAAGCAATCAAGTGGGTTAAGGCTTCCCAAGGACAGGATGCTGGGGTGCACAAAGACTTTGGAGGTGGGGCCATCTTAGGGCATGATAATATCCAGAATGTGGCTTGACAGCAGACGGCTATAGAGGGATGGTAGAGGAAGATACTAAAGATAAGCAAGTAAAAGGACAGAGTCTAGGTTGCTGAAGAAGTTAGAGCCAGTCCAGCCTTGAGTCTTAGTTCCTAGAAGAAGCAGAGAAGCTCAACCACATGCAGTGTCTTCTGGAATGATAGATTTAATATAAGAATCTGGGAAGATTCTTACATCTTTCCAGTCTTCCCCACTTCATTACTAACTCTACCAACCCAAGTCCAGTCTAAATGCTTGACCTGACTAAATGAAAGCAACCATCATCACAGTCACTGAGTCCACAAACATTCCACATGTGGAATCTCCTATGCTCCACAGAGTGACTGCTTCACTGCACAACATGTATGACTTCATACCTGGTCTGTCCTGCTAGACTAGGAAGTCAAAGGCAGGTCATTGTACGTCTACCATCATTCTTAGGCCCATGCCTGGTATGTAATAGGTACTCAGCAAGAAAGAGTGAATCCCATTCACACAAAGTTCAAAACTGATTTAAGGTATTAAAAAGTCTACAAAATAGTTACATTCTGATTGAGGAGTGTGATGAAAGGGGATAGTAATGTTGTATTTTTTGATGTGAGTGTATTTATATGAGTAGCTGAAAATTCATGGGTCCTTATCATTATGACTTGTGTACTTTTCTATATGAATTATAAATATTTTTTTAAATGGGTAAATGGGGCCAGCAGGTAGTATGGTGGTTAAGGCACTGGACTTCCACAGGGACAACCATGGTTCAAGTTCTGGACCTGACAGCTTGTTTTCTCTCTCTCGTCAAAATGAAGAATAATCATAAGTAAATAAATAAAATAATTATTTTTAAAATGGGTAAATGAATAACTTCACTTTGACTTGAAGTGCTTCACCAATTTAGGATGCAAACAGTAAGGTAAAGCAGGAGTCAGCAAACATTTTCTTTTCTTTTCTTTTCTTTTTTTTTTTTAGAGGTTTTTGCTATAGGGCTCGTGCGCTCACCAGACAGATAGAGACAGAGAGACAGAAAGCAAGAAATCACCCCCCAGGGGGGATGGCCACGCCGCAATCCTTTCTCCTCCATTCTCCTCTCAGGATCTTGGGCACGCACACACACATACCCAGCGTGAGTTTAAGCCACCGCGTCCAGGACTCAAACCGCGGTCGACTACGTGGGAGTCCAGCGACGTAGCCATTACACTAACTGCTGGTCCCAGCAAACATTTTCTATAAAGGGCCAGATAGTAAGTATCTTGGGCCTTGCAGGCTCTACGGTTTATGTTACTACTGCTCAAATTCACCTCTATGGCACAAAAGTAGCCATACAAGTAGGTGATGTGTAAATGAACAACTGTGGCTGTGTTCCTATAAAACCTACTTATGAATGCTGTATTTGAATTTCACATAATTTTCATATATTGTGAAATAATACTCTTTTTTAAATTTTTTTCAACCACTTAAAATTTTTAAAACCATTCTGCTCTCCAGCAATTCAAAAACAAGTCTATGGGCAAAATTTGGCTACAGGAAGAAGTTTGCCAATTCTTGTGCTAAGGGATGGGGCTATAAAACACATTTCCTGGCCTGTAAATAGGTTCAGACTATCCTTTGCCCAGTCTGCCCCTCAAGCACTCTCCCACCTTTATAAGTAGGCAAACACTCCATCTTGTCACCACATGGATATTTACTGTCCCGAGGTTTGATGGGGTCCACTCGGCAAACAGGGTAGGAGTTGTAATCTTGTTTATATGTCGTGAGCAAATCCATATTCTCTTCACTTGGGACGAATGGATTGGGCTGATGGACCTTCACTGGTACGACTTTGTGAGGCCCAAAATCTCTCCTGTAAGGAAAATAAGTACATGTCATTGGGTCCTTAGATTAGGATAAGGCTTATTTTCCATTCGCTCCAACTATGTGAATGTCTGCTGAGAAGTCATCGTCTACTCTATCCCCTCAACTGCTCTTCCTTCTCTAGTTCCCATTTTCAAAAAAGGCAACACCGGCCCAGGCCAAGTCTTGCAGCTAAAGGTTAGGGCTCTGGTCGGTGAGCACCTGGTCACTCAGAACCATGACGGAGGCAGTGGATACATGTTCTTTGGCCACTCCAGCTTCTGTCTGCCGGAACAAGCACTTGCATCTGCGATGCAGCGTGGACTTCATTCGCCGGGTTCTGGCCGGGACCGCAGCGCTCACGTTGCAGTCTCAGGACAACTTGCACAGCCTGAATTTGGATACAAAGGACCTTACAATAGAAAAAGTGGTGATCAATGGACAAGAAGTCAAATATGCTCTTGGAGAAAGACAAAGTTACAAAGGATCGCCAATGGAAATCTCTCTTCCTATTGCTCTGAGCAA